GTTAAAACCAGTGACCAGCATCTTAGCAAAACTATTGTGGAGATAGACTTGGATTTTTAAAGTCTACACTGAGAGATCTTGGACAATTTCCTCCCCCCACCCCCGAAATTTTTCTGTTCTTGTAGTAGTATACTTCAAGTTGAATTTGACTCCTGAAATGTCATTCATTCCTTCTGGGGTTTTTTTTTTTTTTAAAAATCTCCCATTAGGAGTTATAAAATTCTGAAATGTTATGAACAGTCACGAAATAAACTATTGTAATGTACGCTGCCTATAGTTATCATTTTAAAATCATAAGGCCAGTAAAATGTCTGCTTGAAAAATGATGCAAAACAGTAAAATACCTCAAATGTTCAAATGGGAAATAAAATCAAATGACGTTATAGTAGAATCATAAAAAAATAGAACCATCTCCGAATAAAACGGATACCTGTAGTCTGGTTTTGCAGAAAAGTTTCTAATTTGTGTCTGAATTTAGAGACTCATCTATACTGCTTTGCAAAATCTGCAAGATTTGCTTCTGAGCTTGACTTTCTTGGCTCCCATCCAGTCCAGGAATGTGGGAAGCGGAATTTGGTATGTGTCATTTGCAGATTGATGGCACCCACACAAATCCCTGAACATGTTTTATCAGCATCTTCAGGTTTAGACAGCCAAAGAGAAACCAATCTCGGTATCCCTTAATAATAATAATAATAGTAAAGTTGGAAGGGACCTTGGAGGTCATCTAGTCCAAACCCCTGCTCAGGCAGGAAACCCTATACCATTTCAGACAGATGGCTGTCCAGTCTCTTCTTAAAAACCTCCAGTGTTGGAGCATTCACCGCTTCTGGAGGCAGGTTGTTCCACTGGTTAATTGTTCTAACTGTCAGGAAGTTTCTCCTTAGTTCTAGGTTGCTTCTCTCCTTGCTTAGTTTCCACCCGTTGCTTCTTAAAGTCAGGGCTTCTCAACCTGGGCAACCTGAAGATATGTGGCCTTCAACTCCCAGAATTGATGTTACCTAGTTACCTAATATTATGTAGAGGGCTTTAGTAGGCAAGGAACAGACCAGCATAGTTACAACACCATTTATTGACTTGAACTGCAACACCAAAAGGCAGGCAATTGCCTGTAATTATATCCTGAGCCCACAAGGCCTAAACCAATCACCATACTTGAAAATCCCGCTCAAATATAAATGCTCAAAAGTTTCCCTCCAAAACAGTTGGAGTTAACAGTCAGGGTCATCTAAAGGTTAGTTTCATTTTACAAGGCTTAACACAACTTTATATATTTTAATACATAACACCTAGCACTGATGATGTTATCTAGTTAGGGTAATGAAATGTCTGCAAGAAAACAAGTAAGCTCAGAGAGCACCAATAATAATAATAATAATAATTATTATAATAATATTGGAAGGGACCTTGGAGGTCATCGAGTCCAACCCCCTGCCCAGGTAGGAACCCTACACCATTTCAGACAAACGGCTGTCCAGTCTCTTCTTAAAAACTTCCAGTGTTGGAGCATTCACCACTGGGGAATTCTGGGAGTTGAAGTCCACACATCTTCAAGTGGCCCAGGTTGAGAAGCACTGACTTAAATAAATCAAAAGGACAGAAGCATTCCTCAATCCTATGAAAACACTCAGGATGAGTCCTCCCAGACTCACTGAAGTATAAGATGGAGGGGAAGAAAAACACAATCAAGTTCGTAAACTTTGGTTAGGATAGCCTCTCTTAATTGAATATGGTTCTAATCTTCCCGTGGAGTTGTACCTGGAACTATTTTGTAGGCCTGACACATGAACATGTTAAGCATGAGAAGGATTCGTCTGAAGGGTGATCTTCCCCCTGTCTATTGTCATCTATCTTCTGCAAACACCACAAAGCATTGACGCTCATGATGATGATGATAATAATAATAATAATAATAATAATAATAATAATAATAATAATAAGAATAGTAGTAGTAGTAGTAGTAGTAGTAGTAGTAGTAGTAGTAGTAGTAGTAAAATTGGAAGGGATCTTGGAGGTCGTCAAGTCCAACCCCCTATTCAGGCAGGTAACCCTATACCATTTTGGACAAATGGCTGTCCAGTCTCTTCTTAAAAACTTCCAGTGTTGGAGCATTCACCGCTTCTGGAGGCAGGTTGTTCCACTGGTTAATTCTTCTAACTGTCAGGAAGTTTCTCCTTGGTTCTAAGTTGCTTCTCTCCTTGATTAGTTTCCATCCGATGCTTCTATCTTCAAGGCCCATCATCGCCCGTTTGCCCAGAAAAATAATGTGTTGCTTTCTCTTTCTCTTTTGAAAATCCTGCAGAATCAGTAAAGATGATCACCCCAAACGTTTCATCTGCCAATGGCTGTAACCTGTGTCTGTCTTCTCACCTAAAATTTTAGTTCATTGCAACATCCTGCTTTTGGAACTTTCTAATTAAGGAGGAGAACATGCAAGTACTTCCTAAGGTTCTCGTTTAATTTTTCTCCTTCAGGGTCACGTTTCCTTTGAGGAGGTGGCTGTGTATTTCTCCAAGGAGGAGTGGTCTCAACTGGATTCTCACCAGAAAACCCTACATGGGGAAGTGATGCTGGAGAATTCCAGGAACATAGCTTCTCTGGGTAAGAATCTCTGCTGGGCCATCAAATACTTAGAGGATGAATTTTGTGGTGGAATATAACCTACTGGTACCCAATCACACTTTGTTTCTTCTGTGGGTGAAAGGGACCTGTTCCAAGAAAAGGAAGAGTTAAACAGCTCTCAGTGATGATGTCTCTTCTGATGGATGGTGGGCATTCTCCTCAATGAGTATTTTAGTTCTTTGTTGAACATCACCAATGACAAACATTGTGTCATGGTTCCGACAGATGAAACTCTTCAAAGAGCTTCGAGGCATTGTTTACCTTAAAGAATCTTTATTGGAGTAACATAGCTTCGGCACTAATATAGTTGAAGCCAAAAACTGGATTCCCCTCCCCTGAGCATATATTATCAAAGCACAATTCCCTCCTCCAATTAACTGTCATAAATCACATTCTCCAATTAGTTTGAAATGCAGGCTTTCCCTCCTGTTCTCTAACCCGCCAGTTCTTATCATCTCTTATTTCAAGCTCTGAATTCACACACTAGTACAATATTGTTATGTCTAACTAATTCCCACCACACATTGGTGATGCTTGGTTGAAGTCCTTGCTACTTTTTTGCATTTTTAAAACTATAATTCAGAATCTCAGAATTCTGGGGAAACTTTTTTTTATTTCTTCTTTATATGCTGCCCTTTATATGAGGACCCCAGATTGTTGGGGGCAATAGGCTGACTCTGTAAACCGCTTAGAGAGGGCTGTAAAGCACAGTGAAGCGGTATATAAGTCTAGGTGCTCTTGCTATTGGTATCTCCCCAATTGGGTGACTTTGGGCAGATTACAGATCATAAAAAGATAAATAGAAAAACAATTAAACATTGAAAACTGTATGGGGATGAGGTCTTCCTACCTCATTAACCAGCTCCAATGGCAAGTGCCTTCCTCGGGATGGCAAGCCTATTGCCAAAACAAACTTTTAATATGTTTCCGGAAGGTCAAAAGGATAGGAGCAGTTCTCACATCCAGTGGTAGAGTATTCTACAGAGTCAGGGTCTCACTGGAAAAGCCTCTTCTCAACTGTGCCTCCCAGATTCCTTAGTAGATGGGGACCATAGCAGGCCTCTTCTGATGGTGTGAGTGAAGTGGGCTAATCCTATTGGTACCCTGGACCAATTTTCAATATTTTCAGTTAATAGATCAACTGTTAGAGGCTGTTTCTTTGGCAGAGACGTGGTTACAGCAAGAAGGGAATGGACACCAACTAGCACAGGGTTCAAGATGTAATAAAAAGAACGGCTAGCAAATTAGACCTTAATTGATTTTGACCTCCCCCCATTGTCTCATTGTGCATCCTGGAATAAATATTAAAAAGCTTCTTTCCCTTCGTTTTTCTTTTATTCCCCTGACCCTTGCTCAGTTTGATAAGAATGAATAAGAAAAATTAATAAATTGAAGTATTGGCCACACACATGTTCCTTTACTTCAGAAGTATTTCAAGTCTCTTTCTGCTCTTAAAACAGAAACCGTATGGTGTGGTTTTTATTCATAGCCTCCGTCAGAAATCCATGTTTGATCAATCTTTGTCCAGATTATTTTATAATAATAATAAAGTTGGAAGGGACCTTAGAGATCATCTAGTCCAACCCCCTGCTCAGGCAGGAAACCCTATACCATTTCACACAAATGGCTGTCCAGTCTCTTCTTAAAAACTTCCAGTATTGGAGCATTCACCGCTTCCGGAGGCAGGTTGTTCCACTGGTTAATTGTTCTAACTCTCAGGAAGTTTCTCCTTAGTTCTAGGTTGCTTTTCTCCTTGATTGGTTTCCATCCGTTGCTTCTTATCCTGTCTTCAGGGGCTTTGGAGAATAGCTTGACTCCCTCTTCTTTGGGGCAGCCCCTGAGATATTGGAACACTGCTATCATGTCCCCCCTCGTCCTTCTCTTCATTAAACTAGACATACCCAATTCCAGCAACCGTTCCTCATATGTTTTAGCCTCTAGTCAACACTGTAACTTTTCAAAAACCCAAGAGAGTCTGCCAAATTTCAGCAACAAGTCATAATCATAACCTCACTTTGGTTTTATTTCCTTTCCATAGCCTTCCCTAATTCTAATTCTTTATTTCCCCCTCAAGGAAGTGATGGCCGGGATGAAGTGATTCAGGATGGAGAAGGGGAAGAGGATTTTGGAAATTGGACAGAATCCAGAATTCCCAAGAAGAACAAGTCAATGTATAGGAATAAGAAACCAACGTTCCAGTGTATGCAGAATGGAGATGTTCTTGACCACCAAAATCCCAAAGGAAAACTAAGAAAAAAGGGTTTAGGGAAAGCTGTGGAAGAACCAAAAAATCATTTAAATTTAGATATGCGCTTCGGAGCCAACATTAGAGGAGACCGATATGGGTGCAGGGAGAATGAAAAAAGTTTGAGCTGGAGAGTCAAAATGGAAGAGAAACCATATAAATGCATGGAGTGTGGGAAAAGTTTCAGCAAGAGCAGCTCCCTCACATGCCACAAAAGAATCCATACAGGGGAGAAACCCTATAAATGTATGGACTGTGGGAAGAGCTTCATCAAGAGCAGTCACCTTCTTTCTCATAAAAGGATCCACACGGGGGAAAAGCCTTATAAATGTACCGAGTGTGGAAAGAGCTTCAGGTGGAGTAGTCAGCTGACTTCCCATAAAAGGATCCATTCTGCTGTGATACCCTACAAATGCAACGAGTGTGGAAAGAGCTTCCGGGAAAATGGATCCCTTACTTCCCATAAGAGAATCCACACGGGGGAGAAACCGTATAAATGCACAGAATGTGGGAAAATATTTAGGAGAAGCAGTTCTCTTACTTCCCACCAAAGGATCCACACGGGAGAAAAACCCTACAAATGTACAGACTGCGGAAAGAGCTTTAGTCAAAGCAGTAATCTCATTTCGCATAAAAGGAGCCATTCAGGGGAAAAACCCTATAAATGTATGGAGTGTGGGAAAAGTTTCATGTGGAACAGTCAGCTTACATCGCATAAAAGCGTCCATACAGGGGGAAAACCCTATAAATGTACAGACTGTGGGAAGAGCTTCAGCAACAGCAGTCACCTGACTTCCCACAAAAGGATCCACTCGGGGGAGAAACCTTATACATGTCTGGAGTGTGGAAAGGGTTTCCGTGAAAATGGGTCTCTGACTTCCCATAAAAGGATCCACAGAGAAGAAAAACCATGTCAGTGTATGGAATGTGGAAAAATATTTCAGAGGAAAAGTTCCTTTCTTTCTCATAAATGTATCCGTACAGAAGAGAAACCCTATAAATGTCTGGACTGTGGGAAAATATTCCAAAAAAGCAGTTTCCTTATTTCCCATAAAAGAATCCACACAGGGGAGAAACCATTTAAATGTATGGAGTGTGGAAAGAGTTTCCGCGAAAATGGATCTCTGACTTCCCATAAAAGGATCCACTCGGGCGAGAAGCCCTATAAATGCACGGAGTGTGGGAAATGCTTCTGGAGGAGCAGTTCCCTTTCTTGTCACAGAAGAATCCACACGGGGGAAAAGCCCTACAAATGCACCGAGTGTGGGAAAAGCTTCCGTGAAAATGGATCTCTTACATCCCATAAAAGGATCCACACAGGGGAGAAACCTTACAAGTGCCCAGAGTGTGGAAAGAGATTCAATACAAGCAGCAATCTTTCTTCCCATAGAAGGATCCACTCCAAGGAGAAACAGTATAAGTGTGTGGAGTGTGGGAAGAGCTTTACCCAGAGTGCTTGCCTTATTTCTCACAAAAGAATCCACCGAGGGCAGAAGCCATATAAATGTGTGGAGTGTGGGAAAAGTTTCAGATGGAGCAGTCACCTTACTTCCCATAGAAGGATCCACACAGGGGAGAAGCCCTACAAGTGCAGGGAATGTGGGAAAATATTCCGGATAAGCAGTTCCCTAACTTCCCATAAACGGATCCATACTGGGGAGAAACCATATAAGTGCAGGGATTGTGGAAAGAGCTTCCGAGAAAACGGGTCCCTAACTGTTCATAAAAGGATCCACACTGGGGAGAAACCCTATAAATGCACAGAGTGTGGGAAAAGCTTCCGAAAGAGCAGTAACCTTACTTCCCACGTAAGGATCCACTCTGGTAAGAATCTATAACAATACTAAATTCACTGTCTTCCTTCCATGTGTGTTTGAACTATGGAACTACATTGAACCTGAGTGTCTACGGAGATTCTCAGTTATCCAGGTCATCCAAAGATGCTTTTTTCAAAAGGCAACTGGACTTTCTTTGTTTTTCCTTGAAGACGTTTCGCTTCTCATCTAAGAATCTTTTTATCAGTTCAGAACTGATAAAGCTCCTTGGATGAGAAGCAAAATGTCTTCAAGAAAAAACAAAGTCCAGGTGTCTTTTGAAAAAAGCACCTTTGGGATTTACTCTGAGTGCTGAATTTTATCTACCTTACAGTAGTGGCCAAAATTGTGGAAACCTTTTGGGAAAAGTGTACAGTAGAAGTGCCACTTTTGGTTAAGTTTCCACCAATTTTTCTTCTAATTTCTTTATAATTGTAGCCTTGTTCACTTAATAATACTATTTTACATCGTTTTCTGGATAACCAGTCAACTCTTTGCACCATGACTTTAATTTTATTACATTTTACAAGCTCGCTAAATGAAAGAACACAAAAAAACCCCAACCAACTTGATAGCGATCACATAACACACTGACAAATGTCCTCCTCTCAGCTTCAATACATGACATCAATAACTGAATCCTACTGTGATCTGATTGGCTCATTGCCAAAACAAGATGACACCTAATTGGCTCTCTAAACACTCATGCTCATTGGCTACAATCAGATGAAGGAAAGTTACCTGATATCAAACTAAGCAAGTTATGCTTCCTTTTTCTGTTTATTTGGCTATAACCTTTCATAGAATACAGTGCAGATAATTGAACAAACTTTGTTGCATTACATTCTTGATTAAATTATCTTTCCATTGATATATAATTTTATGGTATTACTCCAAAAAAAAGTGGTGTTATTAGTCATCAAACCTCAAAAATATACTTTTCCCAAAAGGTTTCCACAATTTTGGCCACTACTGTAATCCCTTCTTAAAATGTGATTTATTTTTCCTTTGTCTAATGTGTTTTTGCTTTTTTTTTTTTTACTATCTCTTTTGTCACTACTCATTCTTAATCCATCCACATTCCTCTGTGCTAGGAAAAGGAGAAAATCACCCTGCATTGATAATAATTAAAAAAGAGGTTTAACTCAGTGGGTTTGTGCCTTTAATTTCCAATAAGTTCCTCTCTTTTTTGTCCCAAGCAGGGGATCCTCAAGAGAATGAACCTGATCAGGAAGCTGATGTGTCAGCATCACAAACACTCAAGAATGAACTGAGAAAAGAGATATTGGGAAACCAGTGCGGACCCTGAAGTAAAATTAGGAAAATTTCAAGAATGTGTAGGAGAAATCCTTCAGGGTCTTTTTCTAACGTGCTACAGTCCTGGAGTCCTGAATGGGCAGGATTAGGAAAGCACAATTGCTCAGTACATCCTCATAGTACCAATAAAGGAGAATATTTGTACTGTAACAGTAACAACACTGATGATGTTACCTAGTTTGGATAATGAAACGTCTGCAAGAAAACAAGTAAGCTCAGAGAGCACTAAGATCATGCAGCATGTGAAAAATGAAGATCTCTGAGAAGACATGATGAAAGGATGGATGCAATGGATGGAAACCGATCAAGGAGAGAAGCAACCTAGACCTAAGGAGAAATTTCCTATCAGCGAGAACAATTAATGGTTTGCCTTTAGAAGTTGTGAGTGCTTCATCACTGGACGCTCTTAAGAAGAGACTGGACAACCATTTGTCTAAAATGGTATAAGACACGGGTCGGCAACCCGCGGCTCCAGAGCTGCATGGGCTCTTTGAGCCTTCTCCGGCTCCCAGCCTCCTCCGCCATTTGCAGAGAGAGAGACAGAGACAGAGAGAGGAACTTGCGCTTCCCTTCTCTCCCTCCCTCTCTCTCTCCCTCCCTCCCTCTCTCTCTCTCTCTCTCTCTCTCTCTGTGTAAAAAAGAGAGTGGCCTTATGCTGTTCTCGGATGAGCTGACAATCTTATTGGGCGGGGCTCCTGCCTTGGCTGCGTCTCTGCAGGAAGCAGGAAGGGTAGGAGAGAGCCAACCCAATAAGAATGTATGTCAGTTTGTTAGAGAACAGCCTGAAGCCAGCTTGCCAGGTGAGCAGAAGATCGGAGAGAAGGAGAAAGAGAGGGAGAGGAAAGAGGGAGAGAGGAAAGAAAGACAAGAAAGAGGGAGAGGGGGAGGAAAGAGAGACAGAGAGAGAGAGAAAACTCATGCACAGCAGCCTCTATTTCTTTTTAATTAAACTCCTCAAGCTCCCCACCCCTTGCGTGCGTGTGTGCGCGCACAAGTTTTGCGGCTCCCGGTGTTTTCTTTTTTCTGGAAAACGGGTCCAAGTGGCTCTTTGAGTGTTTAAGTTTGCAGACCCTGGTATAGGATTTCCTGCTTGAGCAAAGGGTTGGACTAGAAGACCTCCAAAGTCCCTTCCAACTTTGTTACTCTGTTAAAGATGATCCAGGAGACAAGAGATGGATTATACGTGAACTGGGTGAGATGGTAGCACTTAAGTGGCGAAGTAGAGAGTGGTTAAAGGCATCAGGCTAGAAACTGGGAGACCATGAATTCTAGTCCCACCTTGGGCACAAAGCCAACTGGGTGACCTAAGCCAGTCACACACACAGAGCCTCAGGAAGGAAGCAATGGCAAATCACTTCTGGAAAATCTTGCCAAGAAAATCGCAGGGACTTCTCCAGGCAGTCTCCGAGAATTGGATACGATTGAACAGAAGAAGTAAAAAATGGAGAGGTACAAGGAAGCGTGAAAAGAGGACGATGCTGGGGACTGGCCTCCCCATTTTTGGAGAATATAAAAATGGATGGGATTTGTAGTGTTTGGAGCCATAATATAGAGCAAGATACCAAATGAAGTACTGAGTGTGGTGGGCATTTGCCTCTATCCTGAACTTCAATTCTTGCCTTGTTGGAAACTCCTGGCGGTTGAGGCCTGACGTCTGATCCACTTTCTAATGATCAGGGCTGTGTTTGCTTACTATGCCTTTTTGTCTCTCTTGTGAAATGAAACCTGGGTAATCTGGTGACCCTTCTACTAATTGTAGGCTTGCACAAGTTGGTTAGCAGAGGTGGAAACAGGAATTGCCGCTATTCCTCCTTAATAATTAGGAAGGTGTTCTGGATCACATAGATCCATGTAACCATAACTCTATGTAACCTTGTATAACTCTATGTAACCATAACTCTATGTAACCTTGTATAACTCTATGTATCCCTATGTAACAGGTCAGGGGGAGGAGTTAGGGTCAGGGGCGGAGCTTCAAAAGAGCATCCCTGGACACTAGCCTGGGGTTAGTCCTTTGTTCTTTGGCCTCACATGCAGCCACACGGCTGGAGACTCCACAATCACCCCACCATGTGACGCTTGGGAGAAGAGGGGAAAATCTAATGTCAATTTACCTGTGGGACAATCAAATTGCAGAAACCTATTTTGGATGCACCTCTACAAACTGTAAGTCATTGTTTAGGATTCCCAGAATAAAGCAATATTTTCTGTTTGTTTCTCTGAGTTATCTATCTGTTCCAGACTGAAATAGAGCAAGTTTCCTGTCTAGAACAGAATAGTAAATTGACAGATGTTAATTCTCCTCTGATCTCCATCAATAGTAAATTTATGGGGTTGATTCTCCTCTGATCTCATGCACCAGTGAATTTGGATGGAATTAATCTTCCTCTGATCTGCATTTTAAAGAAGCAAGCAAAACTCTCTTGCATGTGAAAGTAACTTGAAGTGACTGAAGGTGTGATTCAGATGCATTGTCTTGTTATTTGCTGTCATCTCTGCAAGCCAAGTTTTAAAACAACAAAACTCTTGCCTGTGAAGGCTGNGTTTCTGTAATCAAGGAGCGTGGGCTGTTACACCCTCCCTTTCTCCCTGCTAGCAACTTCAAAGCTTGGGGCAATGAGAGGAGTGTTTCAGCAGACTGCCTGCAGAGCTATTTACGTTTACAAAAGAACTGTTTAAAACTACCTCCAAAATTCGGGTAAAAGCTTGTTATATTCTACGTTTGGAATGCAACCAAGGCAGGCAAGCGACTCTTCACTGCTTTAGAGATTAAACCCTGCAACAAGGTTTTGGGAAATTAAGTGTTCAGATTAACTAGCAACTACAGATCGCTTCTTCTTCAGAGAGGAGCACAGAGGGACCCCTTCCAGGCTATAAACTGCCTTAATTGCCCTCCTTGACAACCCGGTTGCTAAGCTCAGAAGGCAAGTAAGCCATTAAGCTGCTTTCTCTCCCTCATAAACCTCAATACTGGCGAAAGATGCTAAACTCCCCTCTCCCTTTGGAATTTCATCTATATCAATAGAAAGAAGCCATACAGAGGCCCCAATAGCAGGGCAGTAGCGCCCCCTGGTGGCTGTTCCAAATGTGGAAGAGAGACTATGTTATTAGCGTATTTTCTAAGCTGATTGTTGAGAAAATATCTGAACAAGTTTCCTTTTTTTTATATACAGATCACAACGGGCTTGATGTCGTAGTCACAGTTGTCATTCAGAATATGCAGGGGCATGAATTTTAGATTATATTCTCTCTTATTTACTTTGGTGTAAGGAGTCCATCTCAGCTTCCCTGTTCAATGCAAATGAAAGAATATCTTTCATTTTTCAAAGAAGGAGTGGCTTTGGGTACATGGTGCTTCAAGATCTGGGTCATTGACATCTTTAGTTCTGGATAGGGTTGTACTACCCCGTTCAGACCCACTTTGCAACTTAGGGGTTCTCCTGGACTCACGACTCCTGCTCAATGAGCAGGTGGCAGGAGTGCTAAAGAGCCTTTGCACCACTTCAATTTGTCCACCAGCTGCAGTCTTTCCTGGGTCAGGATTCCCTGCACTCAGTCACTGAAGCCCTGGTCATCTCACATCTGGACTACAGCAATGCACTGTACATGGGGCTACCCTTGAAGAGCATTTGGAAGTTTCAACAGGTGCAGAGAGTGGCAGTACTGGCAGACTTTGGCACCCCTAGAATGTAC